AATATTTTTTTGATAGAAATGGAAGAGCTTTTCATTATATAATGGAATATTACCGTACAGGTAAATATTTATGGGATTCATCATTACAGCATGATCATAGCCAGAAAGCAGATAATTTTAATATATCACGAATGGAACTTGAAAATGAATTGGATTATTTTCAAATACCTTTTCCAAATCAAAGATTGCATGAAGTTAGTTTAAAGCATGGGGAAACTATTGATGATATTATAAATGTTTTAGTAGAACAAATTTACAAGTCATTGGAAAGATTTGAAACACATATTTATTTTGAGTTTTCAGATGATAATAAGATTTGTACTTCCGATCTTGAAATTGGAGTTAATAATTGTTATAATGCTATACAAATAATTCATAGCAAAATTAAAGAGAAATTAGAAATCAAATTTCCGGGTATAGAATGCAAATATGGATATTATTATAATATTCCGAATTTAGCCATATCATGGAATTCTGATTTTTTAATTAATATTATTAACTGAAATAAAGAGTATAATTATTTGTTTGTTTAATTTATCAGATAAATTAAGCACTATACTATGTCATTTATTTTAATTATTTATATTTGTCATCCAAATATTTCTTATTCGATATAATTTTCATTTATTACCATCATAATTTTGATTTCACTTTATCACCAATTTCTTTCAATGGCATAATGGTTTTAATAACCAATCCTACTCCACCGATACGAATATATGACGAACCATCTGATAATTTCAATTTATGCCGTAATGAATTGTTATTATGTGTTCGACGATGTCTTGTGAGTTGATCTGATCTGGAGAATTTTTTGGTACATCCGCCCCAATTGCATTCATGTGATTTCTTCTCTCCAGTATGTACTCTACTATGACGAACTAAATGTTCTAATCGATTATAAGACCTTTGACATATATCGCATTTATGCTTGCAGTTAAAAGAAGACGGCGAAGAGGGTAAGAGGAAAGTTTCTTTGTTATTGTTACGAATCATATATATTGACTGATTGTTAAAACTTACTTGTAGAAAATGTTCATCATTAAATGACGATGTTAAAGGTCTTACTAAATTTACTTTATCACCAATTTTTAATTCTCCAAGATTCGTTCTTCTAAGAGTTTCAGGTGGAAGTTCAACTTCAAATCATGAAGCTAAACTATCGAATCTTGTTACCGTTGGACAAATTCCTTCAAAAATCAAATAATAAAAATTCAATTAATCAATTATCATTTAATTCTAACAAGACTAAATTAATTATAAAGTACAAACCATTGACAGAGATGCTATCACCATTCTTACAACCAATTAAAACAGATCCAGTTTTACCAATCGTAATTGAACAACCACCTACATCACTAATTGAATTGTCCAAGGCTAAAATTTCAAATACTTCTCCTGTGTGTACAAGAGTTGTAAACATTTTTATATTTTGTTTTTTTTTTTGAACCTGGGATTTTATTATTTATTTATTATATGGGTGTGCTGTAACATAGTGTTGGCATATGACTTGTTGGTCATTCATGGCTTTTATGGTTAGAGATGTGTTTCACGCGACACGATTATGCCAAAATGAAACGTGAATATTACAACTATTGGATTAAATCAAGAGAGTAATGTAAGAAGACGGTTCATTTAATCTTATTTTAGGAATTACTTGATTTTAATATTAATAAAAACTAGGATATATATAAAATAAATCGTCGTTTAAAATGAATAATAATTAAGAATAGTAGTAAAATAAAATAAAAATAGAATTTACTTATATATATTAATTCCTATCAATTATTTGAAATACTTCCAAAACATCAAATTTGCTACCATGTACTATATTAATGTTATTATAAGTATCTGGCTTACTAACAATACTGCCATCATCTTCAAAACATATATCACTACCATGGCCAAAAATAGGTAAATACAACATACCACACAGAATTGAATGTTTGTCATTATTGACGTAGCTGTATTGTACGGTATTTGAACCATTTCTATTTCTTACATTAAAAATAAAACTTTCCGTTGTTCTTTTGTATTTACCAAATAAACCACCTCCATTCCAACTTAATGGATTGTAACCACCAATTACTTGATCAGAATTTTGTATCTTGGCAACTACAAGAGTTCTATCGATATCATTACATTTACCATGAAATATATTTATGTTTAAGCCATCCTTACTACTACGATATAAAAGCTTAAACTCATATTTAACTTCACTGATTAAGCTATATGGCAAACTTTTTCTGTCGATCCAACTTGCAAAAGGCAAAAGTAGCTTTTTATTAATTATAATTGAGTCAAGTTTTGAATTTCTAGATGGCAATAAATTTAAAGTTGATCGATCAGGAACTATAAAATATTGAGAAACTTGTTTCCACAAATCCTTGGGGAAAAGCGATTGATATTGTGAAATTTTATGATAAAAATCCTTGTTAGAGATATCTTTGAATCTGATTGAAGAAATCAATTCTTTTATTGTAGTTCCAACTTTGGAAAAGTGCTGTTCTGACCAATCTTCAACATTATGATTATTAATTTCTGGATGTCTTGCTAATCCCCATTTAATAATATTTTCCCAAACATCTATTTCGTCAACATAAAAATCGTCTCTTTTGAGAATCTCCAATAGAATTTGTTCTTCCAATAATTCATATTCACTTGATTGAAATAATTTTTCGCTATAATTGCAAATTTTTACTAAACAGATGTTTTTCAATCCATCAAATCTTTCTTTAGAGTATATTAATCTTAGGATTTTAACTGTGTTATTATTTATATAGTCATCATGGTCATTGACAAAGGAAACTATTGCAATATTGTAAAGCGAGTCAAGACCAAGCTCATCGGCAGCAATTAATAAATTTAATACATCAACGCTTTCATGGTCGACTAATTCTATATTAAGCGCATATAAAAATCTTTTAAATAGTCATTTTTTTTAAATAAATTATTATTTGTTACGACTTATCTAATAAATAAATAATAAATAAACAATCGAATAAGCTTACTTTAGGATTAGTTTAAAAACCAATTTACTTGTATTTGTTTTCTTAAAAATGTAATATCCATTTTTTTTGCTTGCACTAGACAATACATTCTTGAAATATGAACAACGAGTTTTTAGGATTATTGAATGTGCATGTAACTCATTAACATTCAGCTCTTCACCAACAATGATTTTTACATCAAAGTCTTCTTCTGACTTCAATAACATTTCAAAGTCATTTGAATATTCTTCAGCAGCTTTTTTCTGAGCTTGAATAATATCATGCATGTTTAAAAAATTTTTTAGAGACATTTTTTTTTGTGAAAAATTTTTGAATTATCGAAAATATATATTAATATTAAGAATAAATCAATTAACTCTTTATTGTTACTACTATTATTCCTGAGAAAAAATTAATGTCATATATTGATTGGTTGGTTATATATGTATTACTAATAGAATTTAAAACATACCGTTTTCAAGTTACAACTACTACTACTTCATTTTCAACACCAAAAAAGTAGAACCATAGAGATTTTATGGTTGTAAAGATGTTAATGGTATAAAAAATCCATTTGAAATACAACAAATTTTTATTTATTATTATTACAATACTACTATTTACTCTATCACAACTTCCAACAAACTCTATATGAAATAAACAATCTCTCCATAGCAGTGTTCTACAGCCAAAAACCTTTAATATTTTCACAAATAGAATGATTTTCCGGAAGCCTTAGTTAAAGGCGCTGTTTTCAAATTATTACTCCTCCCCCGTTTTCAAAGATACAGATACCAAACTTACACAAAAGGTAGTGTATAGCTATGGAGAGATTTAATAAAATGTTAACGGTGTGTAAAAAACTCATTTGAAATACTTGTATGAAGTAATCATATTCTCTCCATGGCAGTGTTCTACAAATGCCTTTCGACTAAAAAAACCTCTGATATTTTCATAAATAGAACGAACGATTTTCCAAAGGCCTTCGTATTAGCAATTGAGAATTCACTACATTGATTCCTTTTTTATAAAAAATAATATGGATTTACCTTATTATTATTCGAATACTATGTATTAGTGTGCCATAACATTAAGGATTTTTTTCATCCGGGTTAATCCGTTAAAATAGTAACATGATATTAATAGTATATTAAAAAACATTTATTTGTCAAATTGTGATTTACTTCTTTAAGATAATTTTTTTAAAAAAATCAGGTTTCATTGCTAATAAATTACTGATAAACACTTTTGAGCCAGTTTACTTACGACTGGAATTGTTATCCACCAACGATGGATTTTGATAAAAAATAATTGCAAATATTCATTTATTTCATCTGAGGCTATTTGCCAAGACATGATATCAATTTTTTTTTTGTGTTTGATTCTGTTGCCAGAATTTTCTGGATGAGACAAAAACGAAAGGATCTTGATTTTCTTATATAAATCAATTAATAATCAATTAATAATCAGTTAATAATCAATTAATAACCAATTAATTCTCTTTGTGTTTTAAGTTTTTGTGAAGTGGATGCAAAAATATTTGGATCAAACAATTCATTAATATCAACTGGCGTATTAATCTTTCTTGGGATTTATTTGGAGGTTAATTGTCCTTAATATCTTTAATTAATAAAACTAGAGTGGCGTGTTGTAATGATCATAACCACCACCATTCTCTTTAATAATTATAACTAATAAATAATATAGTTTCTTTTTCAACCAAGAATTGATTTTTTTTTAAAAGAAATATTAATAATTAACCTTAACATCCAAAATAGGTGATGGAAAGGAGATTGATGAATTTGTTCAGAGATGCATATTGTGAGATAGTAAATCACGGACTGACCAGTGTTGTGACCAGAAACTCTTTTGGCTTTCCAAAATGTTTCGGAAAATGAACTTACACTAAGCAGAAAACTAAACCTAAACATAAACATAAACTACTAACCTAAACTAATTTCGGGTGGTTTCTGTTAGTTTCTGTTTCTGGTTTTCCCTAAACTCAGAGTTTCAGGTCGCAAGACTGGAACTGACCAAGTGTCCCTCCCGGTTAATGTGACTCTTTATAAGCTTTATGTTTTTTTTTTAGAAATTCAAATTCAGATGTTTCACATTATTACACTAAGATTAAAATAGGATGCAATGCCACCTAGGCTTAGGAGGAGAATCAGGGAATTTGGAATACAGCTGACCCCCCTATAGTCACCCCCTCATGCTGCAACTATAAATGAATGTATGTGTTTATAGAGAGGTATAATTATATAATCACACATCTTATAAATACCACCACCATTTTATTTTTTAGATCAGATAATTTATTTAATAAAAATTTTAAAATAATAATAATATTGTAAATCCACATAGAAAATAGTAATAAATAAATATATAAAACAAATAAGTTAATTGTCTTTTTTTTCAATATATGCATAAATGCCCCTTTGGATTTTTGGCCCATAAGTTTAAATATTTTCTAAAAATGTATTTTAAATTTTTTATTATTTTTTTGTTGTTCAAAAAATTAATAAATGTTTCTAAACCATTAACTACATTTTTTACTGTATCAAAGGTATTTCCTCATCTGATGAACCATTATCATTTTCACTTATTTCTTCAAATTGGACAATATTTGTAATTTGTTCATCATTAAGGTATTCTTCAGCTGGTACATTTTGATCAAAACTAACAATATATTCATGCACAGCATTAGATTAGCATCTGGTAATATACTAATGTCATTGCAGTCCTGAGCATAATTCTAAAAAATCCATAAAAAAAATTGAGACAAATTGTAACAATCCTCGAAATACGGTGCAGATCATCTATAATCATTAATTGCTTATAGTAACAATTGGTCAACTTCAAAATACTAAAACAAAAAA